TTTTTCAAATAATAATGCATATTTATATTTTTAACAGAGACAGAAAATACTGTTGATTGTGTTGAAACTAGTACTCTAGAATCTCGTACAGTTGTAGAAGGTATGTATAGTTAATAAATTAGTTTAAATTATGAATAGTAGATAAATATTATGTTAAGTCAAAAGTTGATATATAAACTTAATGTTTTCTTTTTATTAGTTGAGTATAATATTATGAGTAAGTTTGTAACTAGTGACTACTTGATTATAATTTTTTTTTAAAAGGATGTTTTATTCTAGATTAAAAATATATCATATTTTCATATCATCACTTTACATATTGTGTTCTATTAGTTATTTTTTTTTTATTAGTTCTGCTTTTGTTTTTATAATTTTCATGTTTTATTGACTTGTTAATATTTAGTATTTATATAAAAAGTGATAATATATATTAAATATAACAAATTTTGTTTATACAGATAACATATGTAAATGGAAGAATGATCCATGTCTTTTCATCAACAAACATTTAAGTCCTGAAGAAAAACGATTGATTTCTGAACTTGGACCGTGTCAACCATTAGCAGATGAATTATTTGGTTATCAATTTCCAAATAATATCAATGGGAGGCATTTTAATGAACAGTGGTATTTCAGAGTGCTACCTGACGGCAAAAAAATTGTTAGAGATTGGTTATCTTACTCGCCGAAATTAAATAAGGCCTTCTGCTTGCCTTGTATACTTTTTGGTTCAGATAAAAATATTTCGTCAAGAATGTCCTGGGCAGTAAATGGTTATGATTGTTGGCAAAATGGTCGCAATAATATTAGTGCTCATGAATTAACTACATCACATATCAATTCATCTGTCGTATTAAAAATTCAAAAAATTACTTTACCAATTTTACCATCTTTAGAGTATGGCAGAAGATTGGAAATAGCAACTAACCAAAAAATTGTTTCGGAACTTATTAATATTGTTATTTTTTTAGCACAACACAATATTGCATTTCGTGGAAACAAAGAAAATTGGTCATCTAACATTAAAGGAAACTTCAAAGATCTAGTTATTCTTATGGCATCTCTATCTCCTATTTTGTCATCTCATCTGTCTCTAGTCAAGTCTAAAGGTAAAAAAGCAACTTCCTTTATTACTTGGGAACGCCAAAATCAATTGATTGACTGTATTAGTCAATCTATTAAATGCACCATAAATAAAGGAATATCTGAAGCATCATTTTTCAGTATTTCTATTGATTCGACGTTTGATGCATCTCGAACCGAACAAATTTCTTTTATAGCAAGGTATGTAAATAGTACTGGTGATATTTTTGAAAGACTGCTTGCCCTCAAATCATCTGCGATTACAACAGGAGAAGTTCTGTTTA